AATTATATATATACAATAAATTATATAAAATAATAATATAATAATAATAATAATAATAATAATAATAATAATAATAATAATAAATTTTATATATTTTTTTATATATTTATATTTTATATTTACAGAAATATTTGTAAATATGTATTATTAAAAAATGTGTATTACCTTTTGTAAACCTGCATCAGCACCAGTACTACTGCCATGAAGGGTTGCACAAATGTCATCCAACACCAAAAATAATCCTGGCGGTCTTTTACCTTCCAATAATTCAACTACTATTGCATTGTTAAAATATTCTATAGGTGTCCATCGTATATTTTCCGCTACGTATTCTTCCTATTAACAAAACAACAATTAACATAAAATTAAAATATAAATCGTGATGAAAAACATTTCTAAACGAATAATTTCGTCTCAAGCTTGTTTTTGATTATTCAAAACAAGTTTTGTGTGTAAAACAATTAAATTAATTTTAATGAAACAAACAACGTTTTCTCTTTTTAATTTCTACAAACGTCAAAGTAATATAGATAATTCTTTTCTATTTTTATTTTACGTATCATTGAATTCGTTCTTGTTTAACCAGATGAAAATTTCTCTTTCATAATTACATCTTTCACTGGTACAAGTATAATTAGGTTCATTTTATTTATATATACATATATATTCTCAAACTCGTAAAAGGGAGAGTAATAAAGACACATATACACACAAATAATATTTTTTAATTTAATTAACAAATAGCCTGTCCTCCCCCCACTGCCCCCTCAATTTCAAAGAATCACCTGGTATATAAATATGTAAATTTTGTTTTATGCGTTTAATTTTATTTACTCGTATAATATTCGAATAAAATGACGCAATGATTTCAATAAAAAAAAGACAATTGTTTTTGTTAATAAAATTTTTGAATGTTTTTTATTAACTTTAATAAATATGGTCGATTGAAATATTTGTTTGTTCCACTTTTTAAGTGGTACGATAGCGTGCAATGACAATAAGGTAACCTTTACGGAAGTTAGAAATCAACTTGTGATTTGAACAAAGACGACCACAGAGATTCGTTTCTATCTCTCTCTGTCTTTCTATGTTTTTTTTTTCTTTCTACTTTCCTTTCTTTCTTTACTTATTTTCCATAAATGATGGGAACAGCATGTCGAGAAAATGAACGATTGAGTTTAGGTCGTTCGTTCATGAATTTTCTATTTTTTTTTCTAATAATTTTTTTTTTTTAAACAAATTTCTATTAGTATCTCAAAATACGAAATATTAATTATAATTATGATTTTTTGTTTTTATAGTGACATACAAATAATATAAAAAATATATTTTTATATATAAATTTGAAAATCAAATTCTTTTTTTCAATCATTAAATCTGTATGTTTATATTTATAAATATATTATTTAAAAATAATACATAATTGGACATATCTTTCTATAAAATTAAATATATTGAATAAATAATTAATTTAATATTTATATATAATATAAAAAATTTATGATTTAATTAAAAAAAAAAGAACAAAACACAGTTGTTTTTTAATTTTGTAATGTTCTAAAGTTTGACAAAATAATTGAAATCGAAATTATTTAATTATTATAGATTCATGTTTAATATATTCTCGTCTTTTTTTTTATTAAACATTCGTATATTGAATTCGTGTTATTGAATTAGAAAAATAAAAATGTTTAACAAAATAAGAATACAATTCTTGTTTGCGTTATGCTCCGAATCTTGCAAAGAGATGAATGATAATATGTTTAAAAAGACTAGAAGTTAATAAAAAAGAAAAAAAAAGAAGGAAAAAAGAAGAAGAAGAAGAGGAAAAATGGAGAAAGAATGGTCTCGAATAATAAACAATATTCGCAGGCTAGTTCTTTTGTGTTCCCTAACGCGGTCTAGTTGTGAGTCTTTAACAAAAGAATATATATATATATATTTATATACCTATACACATATATATATATATATACCTAAAGTATCATAGAAAAGTGGGACAATTTTTTCGTCGTGGGTTCTAACCACGTTAACGATTCTTTTTCAAAGCGAATTCTTCCTCTTTTCAATTTAAGACCATTAGAATTTTAAGATCTAAAAGCGTATCTTTCTAACTCTCTGTCTGTGCATTTTCCTTTAAAAGAAAAAAAAAATAATATTTAAATTATTGTTAACTTTTTGTATACATGGGTATGGGTTGAAAAGAAAGATTGATACAAGTAACCTTTTTTTCTGTTAAATTTGAGATAAGTACACTTAGGTACTTAGGTGTAGCAATTAATTTGATTTATTACTTTGATATATGAATATAAACAAATTGGCTGCAATTTGAAATAAACTTTACTCGTACTCTCCCCCACCACCACCACCATTTTTTTTTAAACAATTCATATATAATTTTGTTTATATGTGATCGATTAACTGTTATATTTAACCGATGATTTTTCTAATTAATAAATAAAATGATTTATAAGAGATTAATTAAATTGTTAAGTTATTGAATGTTAATAGAGAATTTTAATTTAAACAAATTTTTTACTTTTTCGACGAGTCAAAATTTGAAATTTATATTCACTGTATAATATTTAGTATAATTTTCAAAATTTGAAATTTATATTTAGTGTATAATATTTACTATAATTTTCCATCTAAAAAAATTGTCCACTTGATATTGATATTTATTGGTATAATTAATACGTAACAATTCGTATACGATGAAAAACATGTAAATATAATCAAATAATCAAGTACAAGTGTTAATAATGATAATTAATATAATCAATCTGAAAAGTACAACCGTACCAATTTAAATACCATAGCACGATTGTATATACAATTACATATACGTGTATCCTATATATTACATGCATGCATGTATGCATGTATATAAGTACATATATATTATATATACGGTCGTTTGTCAGTCGTATCATTGTTGTTCTAAGAATCCTTTCCACCTCTCTTAATTTCTTCTCGTATCAAAGATTAAACACAAATTAGCTATGATAAATGGGTTAACTGCATGCGACAAATGTTAACCAACATGTTCTACATAAGATCGCGTGTTTCTTAACGAGAATGCGCTGGATCCTACGAATAAACAATCTTCTTAACAACTACTCCTTTATGAACACATTTCAACAAATAAAAATAACGTATATAATTATTATCATTAAATTTACTAGCTTTACGTAATATCTTAAAGAATAATTATAATCAAATTTTCAATGCAATTATATTAAATCAATTTTTGCATTGTATATTATAGTTGAATTTATTATATTAAGTTATATTAATTATATTAATATTATCTTTTGGTAATATGGTCAATCAATTTTTTTTGTTTTTGATTGAACTTATTTTTCATTTAACAAAATAAATATAAATATTCAAAGTATTTTTTCTTATCCGAGGATCAACACAACTTTTTCAGTCTACCCTCGTAAATTGTATTAAAAAAAAACCCTTACATATAAAAACCATATAACCACGACCCGTCCCCACGAAATAAAAATCAAATTTACTACGATACTTTGGAATGGAAAAAGATTTTGCTAATATATATATATATATAAAAAGAAGCGAAGTAGAAATAAATAAAACGTCATAGAAACGTTACGAATGAATTACGGAACATAAAATTCAATCTCAAGGGAGTACTATACTTTCTTTTTGTATATAATATCATGAATAGGCTTAAAAAAGATTTGCGTGGGTGAATGTACGATTATTCGAAGAAAAATCAAAAAAGAGAAGTATTATAATAATAATAATAAAATAATAATAATAATAATAATAATAATAATAATAATAATAATAATAATAATAACGACACAACAAATCTGAAACAAAATCGAACTTTAGATAATATTTTCATGTAAGAGCAGTATGAGTAAGAAGTGAAAGCATTTATGGTTGTAATCGATGGAAAAGTATCGTACGACGATACCAAATTTGGTTAGCGTTAATTGTTCCTATCTATCCTTCTATGTTTCTCACTAATCAACGTATCCGTAAATTATTCTTGTAAAAGTACATTGTGATCGTTGTAGTGTCATTATGGTAATTACGTATGATTACGTATGACTTTATAAGACCGTCCGGTACCCAGTTTTTGATCGTCTAGTTAATCACGTTTTGCCGCAAGAATGTTTTTTATTTTTTTATTTTTTTTCTGTTGTAATTTACTACAGTTTGATAGTTGATTTATTCTGATGTTTATAAAATTTACGACCGAATATTATCATTAGAGTAAATATATTTTTTATTTTCTCTTTTTTTTTTTTTTTATTATAACGATTGAAATTATTGAGCAAAAAAGTAAATGTGATAAATAATTAAACGTAAAGTTGTTTAAATTAATTTAGTTTGTTCAAGGTATAACAATTATCGTAAAGTTTTTGTGTTATATTTTTTTATGTATATTTAATTTCTTGTATTGAAAGATTATTGCAATTACGTTGATATATATTTTTTTTTTAAGTAAATTATTTGGTTTATTATTAAATTATAAAAAGTAAATTATAAAAGTAAATTATGAAAATATAGAAAAATATTAAATAGTGACTAAAGTAATCAAAAAAATATTATAATATAGTAATTTTTTTAATTATAAATATATACAATAAATATTAATAACATATATAATTTTTATAATTATAAAAATAATTATAAAAAGTAAAAAAAAAATTAAATAATGACTAAAGTAATCAACAGATTGTATAGCACTTCCTCGTTAATAAATATATATATATATATATCTATACCTAATTCTAAGTTTAATCGATCGATGAATGATAGAAACTAATCCTATCTAATAACGAGTATAATTTCATATCAATATCAAGAAATTGTTAGATAATTATAAAAAGTTTTTATTTTTATTTTATTTTTTTTTTTTTCTAAAGAAAGAGAATACTATACTTCATAATTTTCTCACATCATTTTAAACGAATTCTAAGAAAATTGTATACTTTAATTTGTCCTTGCATATACCTATCTCTATCTCTATCTTTCTCTCTCTCTCTCTCTCTCTCTCTTTTTCTTTATATGTATATATACATATATTTTTCTTGAACTCATAAATACTTTCATTCGTGAAGCACGCTAATGCGTTAGATTCATGGCCTTTCTATAATTCATTTCTATTATTTCTTAGCTCACAAAGGCAAATATAATTGGAAATCAGGTCGATCTGAAAAACATATACATATATAAGAATAATACACATACACATACACACATACAACTTCTTTTCATCATTTTCTACGTAATATTTTTCAGTATTACAATGAGTTACTTCGAGTTTATTATGAGAATAACCTTCGTTCGTTTTT